AAGAGGATACAAAATCGGGAACAAAGAAATCAGAATACTCTGCTATGCAGATGATGCGGCCCTAATTGCATCCAATGAAGACGATTTACAAAGACTAACCCATAGATTCAACACAAGGGCAAAGGACTTTAATATGGTGATCTCTACACAGAAAACTAAAACAATTGTAATCAGTAAAGAACCAATTAGATGTAAACTGGAAATCGACGGTATCAGCATTGAGCAAGTAATGGAGACAAATTACCTAGGAATTACACTGTCTAGCTACGGAGATGTGGAGAAGGAAGTGAAAAATCAAGTACAAAAGGCTAATAAAATAGCAGGTTGTCTTAATAACACGATATGGCGCAATCCCCACATTAATACCGACGTGAAGTCAAGAAACTACAAAGCAACAATAAGACCAATACTGACATACACTTCAGAGACAAGACCGGATACCTCCAAAACTCAGCAACTACTAGAAACAGCGGAGATGCGTTTACTGAGGAGAATTACAGGAAACACACTGAGGGATCGAATGAGGAGTGAAGAGATCAGAAGAAAATGCAATATACCAGAAATAAATGAGTGGACACTGAACAGAAAAAAGGAATGGAACGAACACATAAACAGAATGAAAGAGACCCGATTAGTCAGAATAGCGAGGGACAAATCACCAAGAGGTAGAAGAAGTATCGGGCGACCACGAAAAAGATGGAGTGATAACCTCCAATAGAGGCATTAATCGACATTGAACAAGCATTTTGCTTATAAAAAAGAAGAAGAAGAAGAAGAAGAAGAAGAAGAAATAGGCGAGATAGGAACACATGGGCGAGTGAAAAGTAAGTTTTGTTTCCCTTTACTATTCTTCTTTAAATTGCTGGTTCTTCTATTCCATCCGTATTTAATGCAACTCCCAGATATGTTAAACTTTCTACAATTTCAATATCGTCCGCTAATGCAACTGTTTTTCCTAGCTCTTGGCTCTGTTAGATTTTTTGTCTTTTGAATATTTATTTCTAGGCAGGTCTCTTCTACCCCTGTTTTTAATTGTGAATATATTTCTACCGCCTTTTCTCTTCTGCGAGACATGCGCTAATGTTATCGGCATATGTGATGTGTTTGGAATTTGTTTCACTGTAAATAGCTGATCAGTTGTTGATCTTCCTTATCGGAAGCCGGTTTGATATTCCCCCGACAATATTTTCAGTTAGTCGTTGGAGTCGTTTGTTTAGTGTGTAAGTAAACACTTTGTTCGCAGAGCACAAGAGGGTTATTCTTCTTCTTCTTAGCCTTCTGTCGTCCATGTTTGGACATAGGCCTCTCCCAACTCCTTCCATCGGTCTCTATCCTGAGCAACATATTTCCAGTTTGTTCCGGCTATTCTTCTAATGTCATCAACCCATCTCATTTGTGGTCTTCCTCTTGGTCGTTTACTTTCGTAAGGTCTCCAATGTTGTATTTTAGTATTCCAACGTTGGTCTTTCTGTCTAGCAGTGTGGTCCGCGAAGCTCCATTTAAGTTTTGCAATTTTTATTGTTATGTCCTCGACTTTTGTTTTGGATCTTAATCAGTCGTTCCTGGTACCCGGGCAAGAGGGTTATGCAGCGATAATTTTCGCATTTCAGTTAATCCTCTTTATTATAGATTGAGCATATAATCTCGGTTTCCAGTCGCTTTTCATCATTCCAAATCTTGAACATAGGCATTTTCATTTGTCCTACTAGGTATTCCTTACCTAATTTATATACAAAAAAATTTGTTAAAATCCTTTATAAAAGGTATATAAAATTGCCTCAAACGGGCTATCACAAACACATTGCAAAACGTTTTCGGATTAAACAATCCATCATCAGTGCAAACGGTTGTACATGCTAGTAGCCACCAAAATATATGGGTAAAAACCCCTTAAAAGTTATAAATTTGAAATTATTTTACATTATTAGTGTTTCTAATTTGTGATGGTTAAGTTACCGTTGGATAGGTAACATGGCGGCGTATAACTCTACATGAGTAAAATGGTCCTGAGACGAAGTGCCTACGAGGACCTGTTGATAACAACTTATGTTATTATCAACAGGTCCTCGTAGGCACTTCGTCTCAGGACCATTTTACTCATGTAGAGTCATACGCCGCCATGTTACCTATCCAACGGTAACTTAACCATCACAAATTAGAAACACTAATAATGTAAAATAATTTCAAATTTATAACTTTTAAGGGGTTTTTACCCATATATTTTGGTGGCTACTAGCATGTACAACCGTTTGCACTGATGATGGATTGTTTAATCCGAAAACGTTTTGCAATGTGTTTGTGATAGCCCGTTTGAGGCAATTTTATATACCTTTTATAAAGGATTTTAACAAATTTTTTTGTGATATATGGTATACAGCCAGCTACAGGAACTTAGTTTCCTCGTGGAATTTTAATTTATATACCTCATCTTTCTTTTTGAAAACCTGGAGCCTTGTTATTCTTTTGTGTTCTTATTGTTTGATTTACCTCTTCCATCGTCGGGGGTTCTACATTATAAAGTATAAAGCAACTATATCTATTAACCTTCTGTCAGAAAAAGAACAAAGTAAATATGAAGGAATAATCACTAGAGAATTAGATAATATTGCAGAAAATGGAAATATTGAACAAACATGTATGCAAATAAAAGTTTGTATGGCCAAAGTAGAGCAAGCTAATAATAGAAGTATACAAGATGAAGACAGAAAATGGTTCGGTGAGGAATGAAAATTAGAACTAGACGGACAAAATAAATTAAATTAATGTAAGAAAAGCACTAGATAGACCAATACAACGAACAAAGAAAACGAGTCAAAAGAATCATAAGATCAAAGAAAAGAAAATAATATGAAAATACATTCGAATGCACAGAAAAAAACTTTAAAAATAGAGAAATTACAAACATATCAAGAAATAAAAATGAGAAGAAGGGTTACCAAAAAAACCCTGTACACTATAAAAGCAAAAATGAAAGGAATTTACTAAGTGACGAGAAAATACTGAACAGATGGAGCTTCTAAATGAAATACCCGTAACAGAATATAAAGAAGAAGAAGAACTGAAGCAAAATACCGATCAAGAACGAATAGAGGAAAGACCGCCGAATGAAAAAAGAAAATAATAGAAAACCTAAAGAAAAATAAGAGAAAAAGAAAGCATAAAGTAACAGCTGTAAGGTTCAAATATGGAGGACCATCACTAATTATTATTAAGCACTTAGAAAAGTTGCTAAAAGAAATATGGAAACAAGAATGAATGAAAAAATGGACATATGCCACACTGTTTCCAGTTTTTAAAAAAGGCCACAAAAGTTTATGCCATAATTATAGGAGAACAGCGCTGTGCTAATGACATGCATGAAATACAAGCGGAAATTTGTGAATACAGAAAATCTACAGTGGCCTTATTCATCGACTTAAAAAAAGCTTTTATAGAGTAAAATGAACAGAAATCTAAAGGGCCAGAAAAACCGAGAATAATGTTAAAATAAATGGAAAAGAAACATATAAATTTGAAGTTCGCAAGTGGGTGTGACAAGAGGACGCACTGTAAACATTGTTGTTCAGTATTCTTCTTGAAATTGTAGTCAAAGAACCCAGAATTAACAGGACAGGATTTGTGTATCAACGAAAAAATAAATACCTAGCATTCGCTGATAAAGTAGTACTTATAGCCAGAAGAAAACAAGATTTAAAAGAAATATTAAAAATACTAGAAGCGAAAACGAGAAAGAAAGGGATATACATAAATGAAAAAAAGACCAAATACATGGAATGGACAGAATGATAATACATACGATAATTCTTGACAATAATCACAGAAGTAAAAATATATAAATTCGAAGACGGAGAATAATCCCAATACCTATGGGCGACATTTACCAGGAGACCAAATATAAAGGACGAAAGCTAAGCAAGAATTATAGCTCGCAATCATTGTATCTTTGATCTATAAGGACTAAAATAAGAATATTTAAGACACTGATAAGACCTATGGTATTATATGTCAGTATAACATGGTCTATGAACAAAGCAGAACAAGTCATGCTCATCAGAAAAATATTTTTAGGAAAGCAAAAATAGAACCAGAGAGGATTTATGAAGAACCGAATATCGTAGGGATTATAAAATCACAGAGACTTAGAGGGTTGGGGTATATTCAAAGGATGCCAAACACGAGACTACCCAAAAGAAAACTAACAGGAGAAATAGGAGGAAATAGGAAGAAACGTAGGACGAAAACCAGGTGAAAGAAGGATGTGGAAAAAGACATAGAAAAACTTAAAATATCAAATTGGAAAAATAAATCAGCAAACAGGAAAAGAATGAACAAAAATAATAAAGCAAGACATAAGCCTTTAGTTTTCCTGTTATCTGACTCAACATTAACAAGAAGAAAACAAAACCAAATAGGTGAAAACCTAAAGCTGATCTGCACAGTGAAACATAGAAAACTCTTATATTTTGGTCATGTGATGAGAAACAATAAATACTACATTCTACAAGTTACCATGCAGGATAAATTTAAAGAAAGGAGAGGGCTGGATAGAAGACTAATTTCTTGGGTAAAAACTCTGACACAGTGGACTGGTAAAATATCCTCACACCTGTTTAGAAGCGTTAATCAGACCGATCGCCAACATCCAACGAGGATATGGCACGGGAAGAAGAATATAATTTATAGTTAACTTAATTGTAGATTAAATTAAACCGAATCGAAGCGTTTAGAGTTTAGATTATTAAGTCTGATTTTACAAAGTAGTTATTAGAATAGAATAGAATTATAAAGAAATCAAAAGCTTGGCCATTGTCTAATATTTATATAAAATATTATCAATAACAAAAATGTCAAAAAACTACAGTAGACACAATGTTTTATATAATGTATGGATATTTTACATCCCAATACACATATAAACATAACATCGAATAAAATTTTAGTAAAAATTGCAACTTACGTACGGCACATGCTATTAAATATAACAAACGCAATGCACTCACCAGTACTTATAAAATGCATAAACCTGTTATCATAAAGTGCACACACTCACTGTTTTAAAAATAAGTAGACATCGAAGCAAAATTCAGGTTGAACTATAACTTTCCCACCGTGACGGTTCGCTTGCTATCTCACTCTTCGACGATGCTAGCTGATCTTGAGAAGTATTGACAACGAAACAAGCTACATATATTATTTTTCTCAATTTCCCCTATAAACTCAAGAAACTCCGCTGTTGCCTGGTCCGAATTTCAGGATGAGGAAGGAGGAGGGTTAAGCAAGGGACTATTCCTTCTTGTAAAAAAAAAATAATCAGTTAGAAAAACGTAATATGTGCCTCGGAAAAAGGCGGGTCTTTTAAGACGATAAAAGCGACGACAAAGGACAATGAATATAGGAACCTAGAGTGTACTACGTCTATATCGGTCGAAAGCCCTAACTCAGGTTGTCAAAGAACTTGAATACAGAAACATGGAAACGCTGCCTTACAAGAGATTAGATAGACTATAAAAAGTATACTAAAAACTAATAAATCTGTAGTATTTTTCAGCAGAAGTGAGCAGAAGCACCACTTCTTGTGAGAAGCACAAGAGAAAAGTCTTGTGGGATCAGTTGTAACTACTCTCTAATTGCTGCTCATGCACCTACAGAGGAAGAGGAAGATCGAGTAAAAGTCAACTTCTTTGAGAAACTAAAGGAATTGACAAATAATCTTTAAAAACAGGACATGCATATTATTTTGGGAGATTTCAATACAAAGATTGGGAAGAAAGCAGGATACAGACCAACAATAAGTAACTATAATAATAATAAGTAACTGTAACGGTAACTTAAACATCACAAATTATAAATACTAATAATGTAAAACAACTACAAATTTAGAATATTTAAAGGGTTTTGACCCATATAATTTGATGGCTACTAGCATGTACAACCGTTTGCACTGATGATGGATTGTTTAATCCGAAAACGTTTTGCAATGTGTTTGTGATAGCCCGTTTGGGGCATTTTTATATACCTTTTTTTACTTATCATTACGTTAGCGGCAATTTCCAATTCAAATATTTGATTGGATTTTGTTTATTCTAATCGAAGAGACATTTGAAGTATATGTTCTTGTTTAAAATTTTAAAACGCAATACGTTAAGTGTTTATAGGGACGTTATAGATTTTTTAAGAAAATGCTACAGTACCAACGTCGATTAATGGATATGGATTAGGAGGTTTACTTAAATCATATATATGATATATTATTAAGAAATGTATAATACATATAATTAAGCAAGGATTCATCATAATAACTGTAGTAATAGTTTCTTAAGTGTTACATAAAGTATTCTTAACGATGTTTCCGTGACAAATATTAGATTGTGGACTTAATGCTCATTGAAAATTACAATTAACGAGAATCTTTAATCCGTACAAAATTATATAATAAATTATAAAGATGGTAAAAATCAATTAGTAAATCACACATTGGATACAATTGAACTACGCTCACTTATACCAATTGGCAAATGGAGTTTGATATATGAATATGTAATGATTTAATACTCGTAATGTTTGCAGATCATAATATTTTTATGTATTCATCTTTACGATACTAGTAAAAGTATTATGGTTTTACATAATTAGTGTAAACTAATCAAGCTGTTACTTTTAAACGTGTTTTACTGAGTGTATTTAACGATTTTATTTACCTATAACCAGGGGTTGTGGTGAATACTTTAATTAAACAAAACTTGTTAAACATTGCATTAGAAAATAAGCCTTTAAAAGAATATTATTTTACTTTAAACTACTAAAGTACACAATTTTTAATATAATACTATATACATGGGGAGACTAACAGCTTAATTTTATAGTTTCGTATTTCAGATTGAAAGATATCCTAAAAAAATAATAGAGGATCTAAAGATAAAAAATCGATAAACGCCATTTTTGCCCAAAGGCTGATTTCCCAAGTTAATTCAGGCTATTCTAAAGAACTTTGCAATGAAGGGACAGGACAAGCGAAAATTTATGCGATATCGTAATCTGCAAAAAGAAATGATGAGAGAGCCCTTAAAAAAGAGCAGCTTCATATATTGTCTGACAGTCAAGCGGCACTGAAGATACTGGCGTATCAAGAAGTGACGTTCAGGCTGGTGTGGAACTGCATCAAAGAAGTGAATGATCTGGGAGAACGGAACAAGGTTGAGCTTGTCTGAGTACCAGGATATCAGGGCATTGAAGGCAAAAGAAAAAGCAGACCAACTTTCTAAAAGAGGACCGAACGAATTAAAAGGACCAGCTTTAACTCTGGAAGTATCAAAGGCTGCAATACGTAGGGCTGTAGAGGACTGGATCCAACAAAGTCATGAACGGTATTGAGAGATAATCCCAAAATAAATACATGGAAAAATCTTAATTAGTGGACCATGTACAAAAAGAACAGAGGAACTGCTCCATATGGGCAGGAACAAACTGAGAACAGTAACAGGAATGTTGATCAAGCATGCACAAGTAAGAGAATTTCTGAATAAAATAGGCATTTAGAATGAAGACTTTAACTGCAGACTTTGTAACACATGTATTATGCGATTGTGAGGCACTGGCAAAAGACACAAAGTATATAGACCACTAAGAAGAGATTCTGGTATATTTAGGACACATCAAGCAAAAAACTTTTATAAACTTCTAAAGGGTACAACATTCTAGACTGGGTGTAGGAGACAACAATGAGCAATAAAGACAATAAGCTTCAGCTTCAGAGATAACGGAGATCTTTGGATCAGAGCGGCTCAGGGAGAAAAAATAGCACATATATAAGTATATATTTATATAATTAGATGAAAAGTTAGATCTAGATATAATACGACCATTGACGTAAAATACGAACACTATAAAAAACTAACAACACTTTCTGCAAAAACTAACAGAAAAGATTACAATCCCAACATGCTAGTTAGTTTTGACATCACTAACCTGTTCAATAACGTGTAACGTCTAACATCAGACGTAGAGATCAAAGAATTGCATTTATAAAATACCTTGTAAGTGTAACAATTTTTTGGGGCAAACTTCAAAACCACTATGTGTTAGGATAAATGAACATGAATCATATATTAAAAATAAACACTTCGATATATTCCAGTTATTCAAACATTCTTGGGATCATGAACAAAAAGAGAAAAATCAAAGAGGCATTCCTCATCTTACTAAATGAAAAAAAAAATATAAAGCAAACATTCCAAAAGAATGTAGCAGGCTCTCGTTACCAATACTCAAAGACAAAAATCAACAATAAGAATATACCAGCAACTCATCAGGTAACTACATAAGCACAGAAAGATCAACATTTGATAATAATCCGAGGGTACCACAATACCTCCCAGAATTTTACTTAAAATATGTGTGATATTATATTCAAACTATCCACTTAAGTTCTTAAGACACGATATTCCTCGTCTTCTTACATTTCGCTTTTCTCGAATTTTGCCTTGCATAATAAGCTACAATAATTAATATCTTTGCCCTCTCCTAATATGGAGTAAGTACTCAAGTTTACTTACTTTTCTTCTTCTTTCTCTTTATAAGCAATTCTGATTGTTCATTGGCGGATTAATATCTCTATGGAAGGTTGTCACTCCATCTTTTGCGATGTCCTCTTTTGATTTCTTTAAAGAAGTTTTCTTCTTTTAATAGTCAAGATTCATTTCAAGATTATTTTAGCTTCATTTCCTATTCTTCTAGTAACTTCTGCGTTTGTTTTTTTTGAGTCCATGAGATTCGTAGGATTCTTCTGTTACACCAAAATTCAAAGGCAGCTAACTTTGCCTAATAAGCTATGTAGATGCACATAAAGAAGAGTAATGAATACGTAACACCGAAGCATTCTTAGGCGTAGTCCTAAGCTTATATTCCGACAACAAGGAAACTTTTTAAGTTTAACTTAATTTCTTTGGTTTAATCTACATTTGATGTTATCCATGTTTCGAAGTATTTGTAGGTATCCACACTCTCAATTATAGTATCCTCAACTTTCAATTGGATGTTTGCAACTGCTGATTTAGTCATGATCATGCATTTAGTTTTTTTCAAATTTTTCCTTAGTCCGTATTTATGACAGCATTTATTACAAATTTATTATTTATGACAAAAACGCAAGTTATTCAAAATTTCTCCATTAATAGACATAGCTTCTACTGAATCTGAGAGCGCTTCTTTAAATTTTGCTTTATTGTAGACATTGAAGAGTAGTGATGACAGCACGCAAACCTGGCGGACTCCTCTCTGTATTTTGTTATCTCGGGTGTTCTGGTTGTCAACTCTTACCTTGGCAGTTTGATACCAATATAGATTAGATATAATTTTCATATCACGACCGTCAATATTTTTGCTTTTTAATATATCTACAAGATTTTTATGTTGAACCTTATCAAATGCCTTTCCAAAATTTACAAAACATAAGTACATGTCCTGATTCATATCTATTTATCTCTGGGCCAGCACATTTAAGTCAAACAAAGCATCTCTTATGCCCATACCATTTCTAAAGGCAAATTGTGGTCATTAATTTCATATTCAAGAGGTTTAACAATTCTGCCGTGTATTATTTTCAAAAGTGTGTGACTCATTAAAGCTAATGTTCTGTGGTCTGAAAGGATATTATACTTGACTTTTTGGGTATTGCCACAAAGGTCGCTTGCAGCCATTGTCTGGGGATTTTGGCAGTCAGATAAATTAGATTAAAGAGTTCAACAATTACATCAATAACATCTTCATCAATGAGTTTTAATAATTCAATGGGTACATCATCTGGTCCATGGTCCCGTAATATTGGTGGTCCAGTATTCTCTGTGGTTTCTAATGATAGGTCTTCTCTTTCATCAATAAATAGATTTTGGATGTAATTGGTCCATTGAAATCACCATCCACCGCGAAATATAAAAATTTATTGGTTAAGCATAGTTTTTATTTAAGAATTTTTGGGAAAAAAATTGCAAGCAATTGTGGTTTTAGTCCCATATAAAATATATGATTTATATGTAGAAAATACCGCAGAATACTA